GCCCTGCGCGATGGTGACCTTGCCCAGCAGCTTGTTGAGCTCCTCGTCGTTGCGGATGGCCAGCTGCAGGTGGCGCGGGATGATGCGCGTCTTCTTGTTGTCGCGGGCCGCGTTGCCCGCCAGCTCCAGGATCTCGGCCGTCAGGTACTCCAGCACGGCCGCCAGGTACACTGGCGCGCCGGCCCCAACCCGCTCGGCGTAGTTGCCCTTGCGGAGCAGCCGGTGCACGCGGCCCACGGGGAATTGGAGCCCGGCCCGCGACGAGCGCGTCTTGGCCTTGGCGCGCGCCTTGCCGCCTTGTTTCCCGCGTCCAGACATGGAAACTTAAGTGAGTTACAAACCTACCGCTGAAATGTAGACGCAATGGAGACAAACCAGAGATGAGACAGGTATTTATACTAACTGCAGGTAGGCTTTGAGCAATTTTCCTACTGGTTCCTTGTCTACTGTGAAGCAACCAATGGGAAGTCACAGCCTCCATTCCTCATTTGCATAGAGAACGTGGTTTTTTGTTTGTTTTGTTTCCTCTATCTAACCAGGCCTGATGAATCTTTCATATTAATCAGTTTGTTTTTGTCTAAACAGTATTATTGAAGGCGATGAGTAACAGGAAGAATTGTCTTCATTCTCCTGACTTTTGGCTAGTGGTCCTTTTCTGGGATTGTGACTAATGGTTTTGGAAAGATATAAATGCAGAGCAATTCCTAAGTACATAACATTATGGAGGTACTTCTATGCCAGGCACTTCTTTAACTCTTTTAGACCTCACAACAGAAGAGAGAGAGAAAGGGAAAATTTCAATTCTATTGGTAGTTCAAGTGTTCTTAAGCTATCTGAACAATGACACTTGAAAGGAAGATGAGGATGCTTCAGCCCCTGACCTAGGATGACAAGGACGTCTTCCGTTTCAATCATATCTTATGTATAAGGCCTTCGGGGGTCACCTTCAAGGTATATAGAGTGAGGAGTGTCCTGGATTTAGACATTGCAAACTGAGAGACCCAGATTGGGTTTTTTTTACCCTTCCAAAGGTGACAATGACTTAATCAGACCAAGGACTCTGAAATCCTGAAAGGAAAAAAGCCTTTGTCATTTCCCAGTGCCATGCCCAACAGTCCTACCTTCAGGTTCTCATGCAGGATTCTACTTATTTCAGAAAACTCACCCATCATCCTCCATAATCTGTTGCATCCCTCAGGTTAGAAGGCTGAAAACAGCAAAATATGTTTTTTATTTCTTTTGTTTGTTTAAACCACCCAGTAAATGGCATTTTTGTTATAGTAGAAATGGGCTATGAAACATAGTGTTTTTATGTTTTTAACAGGAAGGTCAGTTAGTAAAAAGCAGTTACGTACTTCTCTACAATGGAATGCAGTCATGAAAATGATGGTTAGTACCTGTTTATCAATTTAAAAGACTTAACAAAATTATGATTTCAGTTTTCTATCTGTATGTATAGACTTGCACGAAATAAATTTCTAGAAGATTAGTAGCCAACATGTCCCGGAAGATGGAGTTGTAATTGACTCTTATTTATTTAAAGTTATTTGTAGTGGTTATTTTAAAATAATGGGGCGGTTTTATTATTGAAGGAAGTTTAAAAACTTATTTAAATGTATATATTTAATGGAAATGAAAAGCCAAGAAAAATACATTGAATGTTGCTGAGAGATGCTGACGACAGAATTGAGAATTCCATGTCTTTTGTCTGCCAGGAAGCAGGGACCATTCCGTTTCTTTTCACTGAGCCTCCTTCCCAGTCACAGAGAGCCTCTAAGACCTCCTGTCACCTGTGTGTTTGTGGACTTTTTTCTTTTTTCAGAATTCTCAGTTAACCTCCTTCCAAATTCAAATTCTCCCCAGCCTCCCTCCAGACACCCAGGACTCCCTCAGGACAGACAGGGCCTCTTTCCTTCTCTCTAAAAAATTGTTTTCCTGTTGTCAGGCCCATCTTTGTCGGAGAAAAATGTAGGCAAAACTTCCCCATGACTCAAAGTAGAATTGGGGACGCAATACAGGTTATTTTTCTCTGTTTAGTTTTGTAACTCAGACTGCAGCTCCAAAGAGAATGTGGGTATTTATTAGGAAAGGGGGTGTATAAACCTTTCTGTTAATTAGGATAGGGGTCTCAAGGCCTGGATGTTCTTACTAAATTCTATTCTTGTTAAATGTTCAATTGTAGCACAGTATTTTGCAGACACTGGTGCAACCACATGAGCTTGACCAGAACTCAACTGGGTAAGTTTAGCTGACTGCAAAGAAGAAACCAACATGTAATTGACCAAATAGTTTATATAAGCAACCGGTAAGCCTCCCTTTGGGGAGACAGCTTTGGATGTGAATACCATCTCCTTTACTTGCTCCAAGTAAATACAGTTACCTGATGACAATCACGTCTCCTTCTTGAATAGAACATCTCAAGAGGTGAACCCTTTGAGCTCAGTAACACTTCTAGTATCTCTCAAATTCATGGACTTGCCCAGTGACCCTGCTGTGCTTAAAGTTGGTGCCTGGTCAGAATCAACAGGGCATATTTGTGAATATTATTCTGGCTTTTCACCACTCACTACTTTTCATCACAGTCACTACAAACTCTAGGCGTCTGATTTTTTTTTTCTTAATTTCCCACAACTTGTTAAAAATTAGCCCGGTATCGGAAGAGATGGCAAAAAGACTTAGCATTGCGTTTGGGAGCTCTGGTTTTTCGTTTGAGATTTTCAAGGGCATAGTTTCAGGAGAAATGTCAAATACTAGAAAGGAATGAGAGAGGAAGGAAAGAAGGTAGAAAGCAATCAGACATTTATTAAGGACAAGATGGGGAAAAGCAATCCATTCATCAGATCATTTTGAAGAACTAATATTACTACTCAGATCTCACCCCTTCAGGAGAGTAAGACAATGGTTAGTGATTCTTAAAACTAGCCTGAATTCAATAACAAAGTTTTTGTTTTTGCTTTTTTTCCTTGGGTGTGGGGGGTGGGGCGAATCTGTTACAATCTAGAAAATAAAAATTAGTAATTAAGGCATCTTTTCCGGAACTACATTTTGCATGTGCTGAGATAGTGTTTCTCATACAGTGGTTGACTGACGTGAGAAATGGGAAAAAATAAAATTTATTTTCTTTTCAGGAGTCGTTTGAGAAATTCAACTTTAAGTTTTATGTATTCATGCAAAGGCCCTGTTGTATTATCACCTACATAAAGTGTTAATAAACCAAAGGAAAAATTCTGTTTCCTTCTGTAATAAGTCAACAGCTGTTCTCCCTGCTCTTCAGTCCCCCAACCCCAACCCCAACCCCAAATTGAGACCCGCCCCATGGACTTGGCTGTTCAACCAAGGAATACTCCGGTATATTTGGGATTTTTGGAGTCCTGAAAGTTTGAAAAAGGTTTACAAAGAAAATCCAGCACGCCTTCCTCTCCACACACCCCCGCCCACTGTCAGCCGCTAGCAGGCGCCAGATGGGGAAGGGCGGGAAATTCAAACCCTTTGTCTCCACTCGAGCTGGAAGACATCCTCTCCGCCCCTATTCCAGGAACATATCGAAACGGACAGTCCCAGGACATGGGCGCCCGGGTTTCTGTTAATGCAAGAAAAATTCAAACGGCTTTCGCTAGCCTGTCGCCACTGGTAAACCAGAGAATTTAGAGACATCTCATCTGTAAGCCAAGACATTGAGATATGCCCATAAAAACATAGTGCCCACAGTAACCACGATTGATTTTGCTTGGTTTCGCCAGAACTCCAGGCCACGGTGACTTCCGACCCCAGAAAGAAGCGCCCCTAACTGTCCTTGGTGCCACCGGGACTCTTCCTCCCGAGGGCAGCGTGGAACGTGCCGTAAAGGTTCCTTCTCGGAAACCGTTTAACCGCATCTTGGCTCCGAAACGTGCCGACACAAGTGTAGCAAATGCAATTTAATGAGCACCTGGAGGCTTATAGGTACATGGAAGGTGTGGTAAATAAAACATATTAAAGAGTTGTCCCTTGGGTGTCACAGCACAGCAGTGCATTTAGGCTAAAAACAAATGGCTTCCCAGGTTGAATCTCGCCCGAGTTGGCCTCACTTAGTCATTTTTGTAGGTTTCTTGGGACTCACGGAAGTTATGCCGCTCAGAAAAGGGAGCTTACAGGTCTCCTTCGACAAAATGGGTGGCTCTGAAAAGAGCCTTTGGGTTCCAAGGTGCTGCACAGGCGCTCACTTGGAGCTGGTGTACTTGGTGACGGCCTTGGTGCCCTCGGACACGGCGTGCTTGGCCAGCTCCCCGGGCAACAGCAGGCGCACGGCCGTCTGGATCTCCCGGGACGTGATGGTCGAGCGCTTGTTGTAATGCGCCAGGCGCGACGCCTCGCCCGCGATGCGCTCGAAGATGTCGTTGACGAACGAGTTCATGATGCCCATGGCCTTGGACGAGATGCCCGTGTCCGGGTGCACCTGCTTCAGCACCTTGTACACGTACACCGCGTAGCTCTCCTTGCGGCTGCGCTTGCGCTTCTTGCCGTCCTTCTTCTGCGCCTTGGTCACCGCCTTCTTGGAGCCCTTCTTCGGGGCGGGCGCNCGCCGGATCTCGCGCAGCGCCACGGTGCCGGGCCGGTAGCGGTGCGGCTTCTTCACGCCGCCGGTGGCCGGCGCGCTCTTGCGGGCCGCCTTGGTCGCCAGCTGCTTGCGCGGGGCCTTCCCGCCGGTGGACTTGCGCGCCGTCTGCTTCGTACGAGCCATGCCGACCAACCGAGACTAGCTAGCAAATAGAGCTTCGGGGGTTCCCGGCACCAGTATATATAACGAGCGTCCCGTTCTGATTGGGCCAGGCATCTGTCCATCACGGCTCGCGCGGGCGGTCGGAAGCGGCACCCACTTCCTGATCACATGAGCAACGGATGCGTGCAGCCATAAAACTAACATTGTCCTGCCCGCCATCCTTTCAACTTGTTTTTCAATTCTTTCTCTCCGCGTACCGTCTTCGTACTGTTTCTTTTCAATGGTCTTTGCCCTTTCTGGACAGAATTTAATATAAATGGTTGCAACGGCCTATCTTGTTCGCTGAATAAAAATGTTAAATTCTGGTACCTGAAACGTTTTTTCCTCTTTTTGAAAAGGCGCGCGCTAGATGTGATTGGCCAACGGATTTTCTTAGCGTCATTCAAGTTTACGAAGGCTACCTTTACGTCTATTAGTAAATGTTTTTACTTGTCTACACTCATAGATATCTTTCAAATTTTATAGACTTTATAAATGTACCAAGACGATTACTAACTGACTAATATTAGAAGTTATTCCAAAGTAATTTCACATACGATAACTACACGAACACTTACTTTCCACTAACTATAGCATCCTCATCTAAAAGAACTCCATTACGTTTCACAATTTCCGGGAGTGTGTGTGAAATGAGGTTAAGAAAAAAACTCCAAACTGGTATTGGTACAAAATAACGGTGTGTGGCTTCAAGTCCCGCAGAAGCTCATGTTAAGCTCGACCTAAAGGACAGGAGTCCGGGGCACGTAGTACTGCGTTCCTAATCCAGAGATTAGGGTGGAGAGGGGCGGATTGCAGATGTGTTGCCCTGTGAAGATGCAAAATTCCATAGAAGAGTATTGAAAAGGGGGCTTTGTTGCTTTTAGGTGATGACTAGGTTTACATCTACAGCTCCCCTTTGGCCAACTGCTCTTCCCCTTATCGATTTCTTATTCAACCCTGAGGGGCGGCTGCTGATGGCCTTATTACCTGTTTATCTCCACCCCTTTTAATTGGTTGACGGTAGCATGTTTCTATTATAATTTTCAAATAAACGTTAGTTTCACTTTCCTGGGGTAACTAGTGACATCTACCGACCAACTGCGGTAAATGTCACTTTCAATTATCCTCCTAAATTATTAACACGCGAGCCCTTTTAGTGAAAAGGTGGGTGGCTCTGAAAAGAGCCTTTGGTTTGGAGTGGACCTGCTGGAGCTGCCGCCGGGTAAGCGGGCCTCTACTTGCCCTTGGCCTTGTGGTGGCTCTCGGTCTTCTTGGGCAGCAGCACGGCCTGGATGTTGGGCAGGAC